GAGCGGTGACGGGTCTCTATCAGAGTCAGGGTGTCTACAAAGTCAGTGAGGGTGAGGTCTGCGGGGTGAATGCTAAGGAAGCGGTCGCGGGCGACAGCAAGGCGGTCAGGGAGGCGGGTGGCAAGCAGGTAGAGGGTAGAGGTAATGGGCGGCTGGTGGGCTCTAAGCTGTGCGTCACTGCAGGCAGAGTGGGGAAAGATGCAAGGTCAGGAAAGAGCATCGGGAGGATCAGGCGACCCACCGAGGCAGCCGGAGGGGTGGAATAGCGCTGGATGACAGCATCTAAGTATGCCTGAGCAGTAGTGAGGTACCTAAAGCGAGGGCGCTCGGACGGGGGAAGGGCGTTGCTAATGGCAAGCTGGGCGACAGCATCGCGAGAAAGCCTGACAGAGCGCGCATGGGCAGTGGCAGCAGTGGACTCGCGCTCAGTGGGTGTGGAGTCAGCGGGCAGAATAGCAGGGGGGTCTGGGTAGGGGAGCGTACCGTCAAGGTGTGCGGAAAGCGGTTCACCATCCTGCCGCTGGCCAGTGAGTTGGCGACGGAGGTCGGCAAGCCACGCCTCGAACTCCAGAGGCTGGCCCTTAGCGTCGAAGCGAAGCTCCGCCGCCATCAGGAACAGTGCAGTGCGGTGCAGGGCAGTGCAGCAAGGTGGAGTGCGGTGCCGTGCGGTACAGTGCGGTGCAGTGCGGTGTAGTGCGGTGCAGTGCGGTGCCGTGCGGTACAGTGCGGTGCAGTGCGGTGTAGTGCGGTGCAGTGCGGTGCCAGGCAGTTTAGGGTGGTGCGGGGCGGTGCAGTGCGGGGCAGTACGGTGCAGGGTAGTGCAGGGCGGGGGGGGGCGGGGGTGGGAGAACCGTACCAGTGAGGAGGAACGGGGCCGGGGCAGGGACGAGCGCAAGGGCTGGGCCGGTGCAACGGGGCCGGGCAGGTGCGACGGGGCCGGGCGGGCGCGACGGGGTCGGGCTGGTGCGACGGGGCCGGGCGGGTGCGTCGGGGCCGGGCTGGTGCGACGGGGCCGGGCGGTGCGACGGGGCCGGGCCGGTGCGACGGGGCCGGGCGGTGCGACGGGGCCGGGCCGGTGCGACGGGGCCGGGCGAGCAGGACGGTGGCCCAGGAGGGGCACACCGGGGCTGGGCGGGCGCGACGGGGCCGGACGGGTGCGACGGGGCCGGGCGGCTGCGACGGGGCCGGGCAGGGGGCGACGGGGCCGGGCGGGTGCGACGGGGCCGGGCGGGCGCGACGGGGCCGGGCTGGTGCGACGGGGCCGGGCGGGTGCGACGGGGCCTGAAGGCGTGACGGGGCCCAGGAGGGGGCTCGACGCGGCCCAAGAGGGGCGCTACGGGGCCCAGGAGGGGCGTTACGGGGCCCAGGAAGGGCGGTACAGGGCCCAGGAGGGGCACTACAGGGCCCAGGAGGGGCGCTACAGAGGCCCAGGAGGGGCGCGACGGGGCCCAGGAGGGGCGCTACGGAGCCTAGGAGGGGCGCGACGGGGCCCAGGAGGGGCGCTACGGAGCCTAGGAGGGGCGCGACGGGGCCCAGGAGGGGCGCTACGGGGCCCAGGAGGGGCGCGACGGGGCCTGGGAGGGGCGCGACGGGGCCCAGGAGGGGCGTTACAGGGCCCAGGAAGGGCGCGACGGGCCCCAGGAGGGGCGCTACGAAGCCCAGGAGGGGCGCGACGAGGCCCAGGAGGGGCGCTACGAAGTCCAGGAGAAGCGCGACGAGGCCCAGGAGGGGCATTACGAGGCCTAGGAGGGGCGCGACGGGGCCCAGGAGGGGCGCTACGGGGCCCAGGAGGGGCGCGACGGGGCCTGGGAGGGGCGCTACGGGGCCCAGGAGGGGCGCGACTGGGCCTGGGAGGGGCGCGACGGGGCCCAGGAGGGGCGCTACAGGGCCCAGGAAGGGCGCGACGGGGCCCAGGAGGGGCGCTACGGGGCCCAGGAGGGGCGCGACGGGGCCTGGGAGGGGCGCGACGGGGCCCAGGAGGGGCGCTACAGGGCCTAGGAAGGGCGCGACGGGGCCCAGGAAGGGGCGCGACGGGGCTAGGGGGGTCGCGACGGGGCTAGGGGCATGACGGGGCTAGGGGGGGGCGAGCGGAAGCGGTAGGTGGGGGGATCCTAACCTACGCGTGATACCATATCAGAATTAGAGAAGTGAATGATGGTAGAGTGAGAGAACACACAGATATACCTAAGTGTTGTACCCTCTAAGAGGCTACCCTATACAGTCTATACAAACATGACAAATACACATGTTTGACAAAAATGTCTCTAGAAATGGAAGACAGCCGATTTTTGTGGGTGTTGGGGGTGTTAGAGGGGTGTCTCTAGGACTTCAACCATTCTTGAGGGCTGTTGATTGTGCTGGGGGGAACTGTCTCTAGCTGCTAGGACTTAGCCGGACTTTATAGGTTGCGGGGCGGGGTGTGTGTGAAAGGACTAGACTCTGGCCGTAGGGGACTTGGACGAATTTTTTGGGTGAGGGCAGGTAGGTGCAGTACTCGCATATCTGTCTCAGGGTCCGTACGCACTGCGCTCTGAATACTCAGCATGCGCAAACTGCGAAGTTTGAGATTCTCAGGATTCAAAGACATATAACTCTGAGGGGTTCAGCATTCAGAAAATGGCAAGTCTGAAAAATCAGGATCGGCCAAAAAAATTGTCTGAAATTTCAGACAATCATACTAAAATAGTTTGATAAAATCAGCCCTGCCAACAACTTCTTCGCCAAAGTCTTCCGCCGTGCCTTTTCCTCGATTTAACCAACTCCGCTATTCTCTAGCGGATTTACGGCAGGCGGCTTAACGGAGGTATCCATTAATTTTGTATCAAACCTAAACGAACATTTTCATTGAAATGCTACAGTTTAGAATTTGATAATGCAACATGTGCAAGGATGTGACATCGAAGCACCGCCTCCAAACCTTCAGGAACCTTCTGAATCAAGCAACGCCGCACTGTACGACGCTGGGACGTCGCGGGATTTCCCAACACTTGTTACACCTAACCCGCGGTATTTTCACACCTAGTATTTTCACACCCTATGTCGCGTAGTGGGGCGGTCAAGCTTCAACAGTTCGGGGCGCACTGAAATGGGCGGCCCCAGGCCCGCTAGAGAAAGTGCCACCTGAATAGGCTCGGAATTGGTGACGACATATCGATTTTTGTGGCTCTGCGCACAGGAGCGCGTCATTAGGGGGGAGCAGAAACAAAACTCGCTTCTGGAAGCACCGACAGTACTGTAGAGCTGCCACATCGGAGTTGACCAATTCAAATGAAATCAGCAGCATGCCTTCTAATTGGCTCGATAAAAATACACCCAATGAACGCACGAAATTTGGGCGGTGCATTGAAATTCCAATCCAGTGCGACATTTCCACCAGGGGAGCCTTGGTTGCGACAGCGTGGCACCTTTTTGGTTCGGTGGATTACCCCTGTGAAGATACTCGGGCGTTTCGCGCCCCAGTAACTTCACACCATCAGGATACGCCAAACGTTTGCTATCCATTTTCAGGGTGTAAAAATACCGCGGGTTAGGTGTACACGCCCTTGCAGAGTTCCTCAATCTCATGAGCCTGTCAGATCTTGGCATGACATGTGTGGTGACCCGTAAGTGACGCTGACAACCGCCACTGATACGTAGCCGCGACCGCGACATGTCAGTCAGTGTGCGTCGAACACTCAAGCACACCCGGTTACCCTGCAAGTCAGGTGAAACAGCAGCGAGGTACAACAGCGATATTTTCCTGATCGATTCTACAGGCTGTTTGATTTCTCCCAGCTTTCGCCAGCGAGGTTGCGGGCGTCGGAAGTTGGTGGCAGACCGGGGAAGGTTCACCTGCTCAGAAATATTCAAAATCCACCTGTAATGTCAGGCACAAATACGTCAGCATTAAAAACCAAGCCTTCATCACATAGGGCGTGTCCAGCGCGTACGTTTACAGTACACGGATCACGGTCTTGTAGGATCTATCGCGATCAGGAGCGGTTTTCCCTTTTCACCACGTCGGAACTCTGAGAACCATACTGAACCGTATAAGTGAATTGTAAACATACGCGCTGGATACGCCCTTTTGGGGCGATTGTTGTTCGAACCCAACAGCAGTGAGCCAGGGGGCTTCACGAATCACGACCCTCGCCCTTAGAATATTTGTTCTCGTCAAAACTTTGCGAGGCCTTTCTGCAAGCCCGAAAAAACAGTAACCTGTAGAGAAACAGACTTAGCAATCGAGCGCAAAGCACCGCGTCCTCAGTATCCTATAAGATGGAGCTCCCACTAAATTGCACATTATCTGAAAATCTACCATTCTCCACGCTGTAACACATTGTAACTGACTTGAGGTCACCCCCAACTTCCAGCCTAGTACTCATCAAAAACTCTACTTGGCCCGCATTGGTGGGAGACCAATGGCTGTGCTCAAGGAGTTGGGTTCGGTTCAGTGACTACTGTGACAGAAGCGGTAGGGAGGTGGGTGGGACTTTTCGAACAAGCACAGGATCTGGTTCCATCCCATGACGCGGGATTTTGTGATGACCGCGTGAACAGCTTGTAAACAGTTCCGAAGTGTCGCCAAACCTACGCTTGCGCATCGCGGTGCAATGATTGCCTAGAATCACTTGGTCAGGATTCTTGTAGAAGCTTTTTCTGCCCTGTCGACCTCCCTTAGCTGGAGGGGAATTGACGGTGGAAAGGAGTCCTCTGCTCTGCTTTGTTTCAGCAATTGGGCCCAATGCTCTGCATTGTTCTTCCTACAACCCCAATGCCCACACTGGGTTCGGGTGGAATGGAACACCACTGGGTTCGGATTCGGGTTCGACAAGCCCAATGGTTGAGTGGCTAAAATTTCCCACCTTCACCTTCCAAATTGTCCCTCCATCCAGCTCTCTATCCACTCGCCGTTTGTTCCCAGCCAACCAAGAGGCGTGCTGCCTCCAGGGCTGCAGCTGCCTGGGCTGTGCTTGAGGCGTGAAGCGCCTGATGGGATGGCATTATGGCAACCGAAACCTCATGCTAATTGACTGTTCCTCAAACAACCATTGTTGCCTGTTGCTCTGTAAGATTCTGCGATTCTGTCGCTGACCATTTTGATGGTGCTTTCCACCATCTCCTCCTGTGTCCTCCTCCTGACCCTGCTAGTCCAGGAAGAGGGATAATCATTCTGTGAACGAGTCAGTTCCACTATTGTGAGACTACTTCGCTAGGGTTTCTACGATTCCCCTGAGCATTAGCTCCTCTCTGCGACAAATTCTATCCCAGCAGTTAGTTTCTTTGGCTCCCCGACTGCTACGGTACCTCCTCGTGACGCAAGCATATCAGTCTCTCGAGCTAGGGTTCACATTAGAGCGAATTTCTTCCTTCAGTAATGGCTTCCACGGGGAAGAATACGAGGATGGTTTTAGCTCAGAAGCCGATGTATCTATTGAGACAGGTTCTTAAAGACATATGCCTACAGAACGGCTGGACGTACTCGGTGTTCTGGAGGTTGAAACGGCGCGCTGTACCTCGCACACAGCAGAGGTAAGGCGACAGGGCTCGGATGTACGATCTGGTAGAGCTTTGTAACCGCTTCAGCTTGCCGTTACGTGTTTTCGTCCGCCACCCATGGCATCACGTCTTCGACGTGGAACCTGACCCCGACCTGTAGTTTGATTCCTTGCTGTCGTTTCAAATTCCCATATATCCTACATTTTGGCTGACCGTCGGTTTTCTGTCGTTGGTTGCAACAGTGTGCCGTCAAGAGGAAATCGCATTATGAAACGCCAAGAAGATGATGAGTGGTGAGTGTTCATTCCATGACCGGTTTGTCATCCTGAAGCCTTATTTCCCTGAAGCCTTTAGTCATCGAAGCTACCTTTAGTTGCGCGTTCTCATTCTCTTTACATTTTTTCTGATCTCATGGTCCGTTCTGCGCAATGGCTTCGATTTCTTTCTCCTGCCACCTATGCAGGGTTCTGATGTGGGAGGACGGGTATCTCGTTCCGCAAGCCGTGCTGAAGAAGCTCGACGCTCAGATGGAGCGGCTAAGGGACGCTGCTGTAGGCGGCGCTGCTGGCTGCAGCGCTCAGATCCCCGCGCTGGAGCAGCTCTCGTACGACTGGAAGCAGCTGCACGCCAGCTTCCTCCGGTTCTCATACCAGATCTACAACTACGGCGAAGGGTGAGTTCGCTTGGGCCAGCTCCTTGTTACGAGCCTGTTTCATGTGGCGAAGTGTTAAGTCCCGCATTTTCTGTGTGATTTTTGTTTCCTTTCCACCTTCCTGGAAATGCTCACGTTCCGTGTTCGGTCTGCTGCAGGTTGATGGGGCAGGCTGTGTCAGCGGAGGCAGCTGAGTGGGTGTACAACGACTCCAAGTACTATCGCGCAGATGCCCTCGACTCCGTGCAGAACCAACACCCGCCTGGATGGGATGAGCATTTCGCGTCAGGCATCAAGGTATCTACCCTCCTTACTTTCACCCTCCTTTTTTCCCTCCCGCGTTTTCAGCTGCCAACGTGTCCACATGTTGCGTTTCGCTGGTGGAGCTTTTCCTTTCGCCCATGAATGTGTCTCTAATTGCTATCTTCCATCGCGTGTGCAGACTATCGCTGTGATTCCAGTTCCTGGTGGAGCCGTACAGATCGGTTCCGTTCTCCCGGTACGCCTTTGTCCCTGTCGTCTTTTATGCACATGATTCCTTCTGTGTTTCCGTGCGCCAATTGTTGTCTTTTTAGTCCGTATTTGACGTTCTTTTGCTTTGTATTCAACAGGTGAAAGAGGATCCGTCTGTGTCCAAGCTTCTCCGAGAGAAGTTTGAGCAATTGCAAAAGATCCCAGGGGTCTTCCTTCCAGACTTCATCCCAGAAACATCGTCTTCACCTGCAACCATCTCCGACTCCATGCCGGCCTCCATGTCCTTCAATGCCATGCAGTCCACCGCCCTTGCTCCCCTCAGCACATCGCAACCCATGACCAGTCTTGCTGGTTCGGCCCCAATGCAAACTCAAGGGACGGATAAATCTGCACTGCTTCCATGGATATTGAACTGGAATGGATTCGTCTAAGTTACTTATATGCCTGGGGGGGTGTCCAACCAAGGCGATCTGCTACACAGATTCCTTGGTTGTCTCCACCACTGTTTAGTTCATTTTATGCCTTGTCCATAATTGGACTTGAATAAACATGTAAATCGCTAGGTATGAGAGGGTGGCATATTGTTTTGTAATGCTTCTCTATTATCTAATAAGCTCTACAAGCAATTGCTAGGGGAAGGCTGCAAAAGCATGTTATTGATTCTAGTATGTCTTTCGAAAAATGCGCGTTCCCTCGTCACTGGATGCGTTATGGTCCGATGCAGTGCGGTGCATGGTTCAGATTCAGAATTCAGCATGACGCAATCATCATCACTTAGTCGAGCTCTCCGGCTCAGATTACAGATCACGCCATCGGCCTTCCAGATTCCATTCCAAACCTCCGTCGAGGCGGGCTGTCGATCTGCTCACTCCTCCATTTCTCGTCTCACAGCACAGCGCAGTCCTGCTTGCCTCCCGACTTCGACTTGCCTTTCTAGCACCTCTCAGCGCTCTCCCGCCAGATCCACAGCGTTAGAACCCCTGATCAGATCAGCGTTCGGCAGATTCGCAGCTCGAGAACCCTCGATCGGATCGGCTCAGCATGGCGACCGCTCAGGTAGTTCCAGTCCCCGCGAGGGGAGGAGGAGGAGGGGGGAAAGGCGAGACGTTTTCGGATACGAGCCGGAAGGACGACATCCGGCAGGCGAACATCATGGCGGCCAAGGCTGTCGCCGACGCCGTGCGGACGAGCCTGGGGCCCAGAGGAATGGATAAGATGCTGACGACGGCCACTGGCGAGGTCATCATCACCAACGACGGAGCGACGATCCTCAACAAGGTGCGACGGCGGAGGTGATATAGAATTCAGCGGAGATGGGTGCAAAAATGGATGTCAACTGGACTAGCCAGCTGTTGTGCGGATCCTGGGTCCTGCCAGTGTCAACAGATTCTGTGAATTCGGCTGGCTGCCGCTGCACTGTGCTCCCGTGTAATCCGCACTTCACAGATCTACTTTATGTTCCTCTAGTTTTTGAACTTCTCGGCGTTTTTTTATTTATTTAACAGATGCGTGCTGGTACTCTGCAGTTTCATTTTCCCTGCCATTCAGACCGGAGCCGTTTCCACGTGGCGGCCATCTCGGCTGCCACATGTCTTTCCGCAGCCTTTCGAAGCAGGGCTTTTTCTAGCGACCCGATCCTCGTTCATTCATCCCACGTGTTCTCGTCCACTGCGATACAGCGCCATTAACGCCAGCCGATTCCCTATTCTCCCCCCGTTGCCTGTGGCCCGTTGCCCGTTGCCCGTTGCCCGTTGCTCGTGGCCCGTGGCCCGTTGATCCCGGTGCAGATGGAGGTGACACAGCCGGCGGCGAAGATGCTGGTGGAGCTGTCCAAGTCGCAGGACATCGTCGCAGGCGACGGCACCACCACAGGTCGGTCAAGTGCGCTAGAGATAGGTAGTGGTCATTTTCCTGCTGGTCCGGGGCACTGATTACAAGTGGAGCTGTCCAAGTCGCAGGACATCGTCGCAGGCGACGGCACCAGCACAGGTGGGTCAGGAATGATACGTCAGAGGTAGAGGTTAGAGGTTAGGGTCTACATTATAGCTACTTGCGTCACTGCTGGTCCAGCGCACTGATAGCGTGTTTAGCCGTCCAAGCCGCAGGACATTGTTTTTGGCGACGGCACCACCACAGGTGGATCAGGAATTCATGGTTCAGGGTTATGGGTGTTGGGGAAGCTTAAACCCCGGCCCGTTGGCGTTGGATTCCATGTTTCCGTGCCAAGTGCTGTAGCACTAGGTTCGTGTTTCCCGCTCCTCTGTTCTCGTTTGGAACTCCCTGCTGCTGAATTTCCGCTGTTTCGACCCATTCTCCATTCTCCATTCTCCGTTCTCCGTTCTCCGTTCTCCATTCTCCATTCTCCATTCACTGTACTTAACCGCCTGCTTCTCTTCCCACACTCTGATGCTGTTCACCGCACAACACTTTCATGCTGCCCCCCATGCTGCCCCCCGTGCTGCCCCCCGTGCTGCCCCCCGTGCTGGCCCCCCGTGCTGCCCCCCGTGCTGGCCCCAGTGCTGCCCCCCCCCTTGCAGACTGCAGTGGTGGTGGTGGCGGGGCGGGCGCACTGCTGAGGCAGTGTTCATCGTTGCTGGGCAAGGGCCTCCGCCCCACAATCATCTCCGAAGCTTCGATGGCTTGACGCCCCTTGCTTCGCCATAGCGCCGTCTTTCGCGCACCACTGTTCTCTCACTCTCTCCCCTCCCCCCCTCCCCGCTCCCCCATGCAGTGGTGGTGGTGGCGGGAGCGTTGCTCAAGGAGTGCCTCTCCCTACTGGGCAAGGGCATCCACCCGACCATCATCTCCGAGGCTCTGCACAAGGCTGCCACCAAGGCCGCCGAGGTACAGATGAGTCACATCCCCTCGCATACTAGATGGAGTCATTTTTTAGAATCCTAAAACATGACTTCACATCACAAGTATATACTAGATGTTACAGCTGTTAAACTCCCCACTGCTCCACCTTCTCTGCCTTTCCCACCTCATCGCACCCTGCTTCATCCCTTCGTATCCTGCTTCATCCCTTCGTATCCTGCTTCATCCCTTCGTATCCCATCCAGACATATCTTCTCGTTCACCATTATCCCTCCCCCCCATCACATCCTCGCCAGCATGCCGGTGCTGGTGGAGCTGTCAGGCATAGTGAGTTAGTAGCAACCTCGCCTCCTCCACCTCGTTGACACCGCCTCTACCCGTTCCACCCTTCCCTAAAATCCTCACCACCATGGCGGTGCCGGTGGAGCTGTCAGACAGCGAGTGCCTCCTCTGCCAAACCCCTCTTCTCCCTGCACTCCTCCCTGCACTCCTCCCTGCACCCCTCCCTGCACCCCTCCCTGCACCCCTCCCTGCACCCCTCCCTGCACTTCTCCCATTTCCCCCTCCGCCCTCCCCCCTGGCGCGTCCCCGTCGCCCGTCAGATCCTCACCACCATGGCGGTGCCAGTGGAGCTCTCAGACCGCGAGTCCCTCGTCAAGAGCGCCAGCACGTCGCTCAACAGCAAGGTGCGGTGCAACATGGTGCAATGTGGTGCGATTGGCTCTCCTCGCCTTCAGCCTCGAGCTCTCGCCCCACCGCTTGGCTTCCTTGGGTCGTCTGATGTCAGCACTTGTCGTCCATTGATCCAGGCTGAAAACACCTGTCTCGGAGTTCCAATATTTAGATTGCTGTCGCTCTCTCGCTTGCGTTCCGGCCCCTCTCCATTCTCGGTCCGTCTTCGCCCCACCAGGTTGTGAGCCAGTATTCATCTCTTCTCGCCCCGCTAGCAGTCGACTGCGTGCTGCAGGTGAGGGAGGGGCATTCCTGTGTGTGCTGCAGGTGAGGGAGGGGCATTCCTGTGTTTGCTGCAGGTGAGGGAGGGGCATTCCTGTGTTTGCTGCAGGTGAGGGAGGGGCATTCCTGTGTTTGCTGCAGGTGAGGGAGGGGCATTCCTGTGTTTGCTGCAGGTGAGGGAGGGGCATTCCTGTTTCTCGTGTCGTCTCAGAACGACCTGTCTTTGAGGCGCTTCTTTACACTCCTGTTTGTGGCGCACTGTGTGCTTTGTTGCCCCCTCAAAACGCCGGGTTGGTTAGCAGCTGACTGGGCGCTCCTCCAGGGGGGAGAACGTCGCGCCTTCCCCATGCTCCAGTCGTCAGTAGATCCAAAGCCCTCACCAGCTTGCATGCCCTTGCTGTTGAGTTCGCTCGGCATGACCAGGTAATCCGGTATACTTCCAACCTTAGTTGCTACAAACGCTCTCTGGGATTCTTTTCGGGCTGCCCCCCAAAAAAAAACACGAGATTGTCGTTGGAGAATAGCCTTAAGGATAGGTGATTTACATGACATATGAGGATGCTGGCTTAAATGTTAAGCACGGTTCTTTTTTATGAGACAAAATGCCTGCTGGTAGAACCCCCATGTTTCCCCCCTCCCCCACAGGAATCTTGAACCCCTGCCCGTGTAAAAATTTTACCCCTGCCCAGGCAAGCGTTTGCCTAGCGTTCACATACACACTGCCGAGCGTTTAGCGTTCAAACGCCAAACGCGTTTGTAGCAACTAAGCTTCCAACAGCCTAGCCTTGGCTCCTCCAAAGGAATCCGCGTTTCCCTTCTCCCTGAGCCATCTGCCAACTTCAATGAACCCACTTCCTTCCAACACCGTCTCCTCTTCCCCTTGCTACTCCTCTCCCCCCTCTCTCTCCACCCCCACCCCCTACCCGTGCTTGCTGACGTGGCAGGTGATGGATCCCAGCCATCCAGATGTGGTGGATCTGCGGGACATCAAAGTGCTCAAGAAGCTGGGCGGCACGGTGAGTTCTGGGCGGCACACGAAGTTCTGGATTGCACAGTACGGCGAGTTGTGGTCGTTTCCCTAGTCCGCACACTGCAGCATTCAGGTAGTGATGGACAGGTGGTTTGATCACGTTCTTCTACCCACTAGAGCAACCAAGCGTCGCCCTCATCCCCACACCCTACAGGTGGTTTTCGAGTCGACTAAAAAAACACAGGGATGCTGCGGGGTCGGTGTTTGACCTCAAGGCACGTTGAGTTTCATCACCCCTCTCCCTCTCCCTCTCCTTCTCCCCCTCCTCCCTTTCCCCCCCCACACACCTTTTCTGTGATATCTACATCCCTCTGAACCGGCAGGTGGACGACACAGAGATGGTTCGAGGCCTGGTGTTTGACCGCAAGGCGAGCCACGCGGCAGGCGGGCCGTCGCGGGTGGAGAAGGCGAAGATCGGATTGATTCAGTTCCAGATCTCGCCGCCCAAGACCGACATGGAGCAGTCGGTGGTGGTGTCGGACTACACACAGGTGGGTTGAGTTGCCCCTGAAGTTGACAGACGAGAGGTCAGTGATTGGGTCTAGTCAACGCGTCACTCTTTCGGGAGAAGGCAAAGGTCGAGGGAGAGATCAGGACGCTGCTTGCAGAAAGGCAAGGTGCAACCCTTGCTGTCATGCTGTCATGCTGTCATGCTGTCATGCTGTCATGCTGTCATGCTGTCATGCTGTCTTGCTGTCTTGCTGTCATGCTGTCATGCTGTCATGCTGTCATGCTGTCTTGCTGTCATGCTGTCATGCTGTCATGCTGTCATGCTGCCATGCTGTCATGCTGTCATGCTGTCATGCTGTCATGCTGTCATGCTGTCATGCTGCCATGCTGCCATGCTGTCATGCTGTCATGCTGTCATGCTGTCATGCTGTCATGCTGTCATGCTGTCATGCTGTCTTGCTGTCATGCTGTCATGCTGTCATGCTGTCATGCTGTCATGCTGTCATGCTGTCATGCTGTCATGCTGTCATGCTGTCATGCTGTCATGCTGTCATGCTGTCATGCTGTCATGCTGTCATGCTGTCATGCTGTCATGCTGTCATGCGATCCTTCCCATCCCCTCTGCCCGCTCTTCTCCATTTCTTCCTCCTTGTTATCTCGGATGGACCGCATTCTCAAGGAGGAGGGCAACTACATCCTCAACATCATCAAGAAGAGCCGCGCCACGGGCTGCAACGAGCTGCTCATCCAGAAGACCATCCTGCGTGACGCCGTGACGGACCTGTGGCTGCACTACCTGGGCAAGGCAGACGGCATTGATGGGACGCCACCCAACCCATGCAACCCCTGCTCTCCTCCCCATCCTCTCTGCCCTCTCTTCTCCTCTCTCCCCCCCTTGTTCTTTCAGATGGACCGCATTCTCAAGGAAGAGCGGAACTACATCCTCAACATCATAAAAAAAATCCGCGCCACGGGCTGCAACGTGCTGCTGATTCAGAAGTCCATCCTGAGGGACGCCGTGACGGACCTGTCGCTGCACTACCTGGCCAAGGCCAAGATCCTCGTGGTCAAGGACGTGGAGCGCGACGACATCGAGTTCATCAGCCGCACGCTCAACTGCCTGCCCATCGCCAATCCGGAGCACTTCAGGGCGGAGAAGCTGGGGGAGGCTGATCTCGTGGAGGAGGTGGCTGTTGGGGAGGGCCGGGTGAGTGCTTCTTTAGGGTGGTGGTTTCTTCAGGATCTTTAGGGCAAATGTGGTCGACTGCTAAGATCCCGATCATCAAGGGCGTGAAGCGGGCCGACGTTGAGTTTATTGTCTAATGCGCCTCGGAGTTCTCGTGGCACGAGTTGTGAGGGCCGTCAATCTTCAGAACGAAGAGCCACGTGATCAATCCCCCTCTCAACTCCCCCCGCCTCTCGTCCTGCTCCTTCCGATCTACAGCTGGTGAAGATCACGGGCATCAAGAACATGGGGCGCACCATGAGCGTGATCGTGCGCGGCTCCAACAACCTGGTGCTGGAGGAGGCGGAGCGCAGTCTGCACGACGCGCTGTGCGTTGTGCGCTGCCTCGTCAGCAAGCGCTTCCTCATCGCCGGGGGCGGCGCGCCGGAGATCGAGGTCAGCCGCCAGCTGGCGGCATGGAGCAAGCTGCTGGAGGGGAAGGAGAGCTACTGCGCCCGCGCCTTCGCGCAAGCACTGGAGGTGGGTTGGGTTGACTGCTGGTGCCTAAGGTTATAGAATGTTGTGCTTCTAGCGGGCAGCGATGTGCATGAGATTGAGGTCAGCCAGCAGCTGGTGGCATGGAGCAAGCTGCCGGAGGGGAAGGAGAGCTACTGCGGCCGCGCCTTCGCGCAAGCACTGGAGGTGGGTTGGGTTGACTGCTGGTGCGTAGTGTAGAAGGTCGCGTTTATAACGCGGGGCGATGCGCTTGAAATCGAGGTCAGCCGGCAGCTGGCGTGGCGGCATGGAGCAAGCTGCTGGAGGGGAAGGAGAGCTACTGTGCCCGGGCGTTTGCCCTGGCGCTGGAGGTGCGTTGACTGCTATTGTGTAAGATGGTAGAGCAGTGCCCTCATAGGGGGGGGCAGCGCACCGGAGACAAAGGACAGCAGGCAGCCGGAGGGCAGGGAGCTACTGAAACGTGTTGCCAGTGCGATTCCCCCTATGCTACAATAACCCCCCCCTTCCCCCCTGCAGCTGGTCCTCCAACTAGTGGATACATATTGCTCATCCCACCCTACGGAAACTCACCTCTTCTGTCTCCTATTGTCCGTTCCCAGGCGGTGCGAGACACTCTTGCTGAAAGCTCGGCCCATTCCTCCCCACTGTTGTCTCTCCCATGCTCCACTCGCCCCCCGTGGTAGATGGGGCTGTACACTCTGAGATCAATCTGCGTTGCCGTGGCCTCCCATGCTCCCCACCCCCACCCCCCGGGCAGGTGGTGCCATACACGCTAGCGGAGAACGCGGGGCTCAACCCCATCTCCATCGTCACCGAGCTGCGCAACAAGCACGCCGAAGGGGAGGTGAGCGACAAGAATGCCGAAGGGGAGGTGAGCAACAGGCAGCTGCATTTGGTGAGGTATTTTTGTGACTTGAATCTGGCTATCTGTGTGCGTTGGCTTGGAATTAACCGGTTGAGCTCATCATTCAGATAAAAAATGTTTTGTTTGGATTGGCCATTTTAGTAACCACAGCTACCTGGTAACTCTCTTCCCTCCTATCCCCACACTGCATCCATGCATTTCGTTTGGTGGGTTTGTTACAGGTTAGTGCAGGCATCAACGTGCGAAAGGGGGCGATCAGCAACATGTTTGAGGAGAATGTGGTGCAGCCGCTGCTCGTCAGCACAAGCGCCATCTCGCTTGCCGCGGAGTGCGTCCGCATGATTCTCAAGATTGATGACATAGTCATCACAAGATAGTGGTGATAGATTGATGGCGGTGATTCTTGCTATTGGATTTTGCTGAAAAACAGAGTACCATCACTTAGTGTATTGACAAAGTTGCCAATAATGAACGGTAGCCTTGGCTTCCCAAGATTGAACATTGGGAATTGATTGTGGGTGTAGCCAACAATGAATGTAGTATGTATATGCATATGGTAAGGTGAAGTTTAGAAATTTTCAATAAGGGACATAAGGTAACGCTTTCACTTCATGTATACACAGCACTTCCAACTCTCTAAGGCAAACTTCGAAGCAAATGGGGAATGCGCAGCGCACCAGTCATTATTGGAAGAGACCTCCTCAGGTCCGAAAAGATCTCCCTAGAATGGTATCTTTCCTAAACGCCATGTTTACCCTGTCGACTTGCAACAGTTTGCCAGCCCATGCTGATTGAGCGGATTTCCAGTTCGCCCTGAAGCCACCACATGTGGCTGCCACGTGAACCCCCCCCCTTTCTCCGCCTTCAAAATCGCTCAGTTTGATTGGCCAGGGTCAATGCTGCCCCACCGAGATGTGCCTGAAATTTTCGCCACCTAGCGAAAAAGCACCAAGTGCACGCGCATCGTTGATTATTTGTTACCACTGGTACTGAATCGACAGGCTTTCGCCGAGGTCTCCCAACCAAGTCAGGGGATGTCCGAGGGGTCTATTGTACCACGAAGCACCTTACAAGCATGCAGTGAACCGAACTAAATCGTACGCCATGCGCCCCCTCAGGCTCGCGCCTGGCTGGGCACCAAGGCTTCGCGAACACGTTTCGTTACGGTCGTCACTCTCCGTTTTCCCTTCCGCAACTGGCATTTCCGAGAAAAGCGTTCTACCCTCCAATTACCGCACACATACCTCCATAGCTTCAGGTCTTGATCTGACGCATCCTTCTTAGGTTGCTGGGTTCCTCGGTTCCTGGGCTCCGCTGTTGGTGTGGTGATGTGTGTCCGAAGCTTGATTTTCTCTGGCTTGAAGTTTTCCCTGAAGGCCTTATCGTACAATGTCGCTAACATACAACAGCTCTACAGTTAGGGTTTTCCTGTTGTAGACGAAGCGTTCCCGCGCGTTTAATTAATTTATGTATTTATAGCACCTTTACCTATCAACGAGAATTAATCAATGGCGACGAACCCTAGACAGGTGCCGAGCGCGGTGCTAGCACAGAGGCCGATGTACCTGCTGCGGCAGGTGCTCAAGGACCTGTGCCTGCAGAACGGGTGGACGTACTCCGTCTTCTGGCGACTCAAACGCCGCGCGGTTCCGCGAACGTCGCAAACGTAACGTCTGCTTCCAGTCCCTCTCGAAGTTTTCGCAATTTAATCGCGTCGAATTGCGACCGCGAAGAGTCGGGTGCTCGTCTGTGCGTGGAATAAGGAGATTCGAAGCTTAATCGTCACTCGCCGTTTCTTACGCGCCGTGTCTCCTTTAGAAGCGCCTGAATCGCTTGCTCCCCTTGTGTCCTTCGTCGTGAGCGCTAGTAACGCTGTCCTTCCCTCGTTCGTTCTGCCGGCTTCTGTTCCGCGTTTCATTCTGTCCCGCAGAAATGTACCCATAAGGGGAAACCGTGTGATGAGACGCGAAGACGACGATAACTGGTACGCCCTCCCCTCCTTCTCCTCTTCCTCTCTTCTCTCGTCAATCTCTTCTTCCTCCCCCCCCCCTCGTTTCTGTCATGCTCAATCCTCCTCGTCTGCGCTTGCCGCACTCACATTCACACCGCCATTCACGCTAACCACCAGCGCCTGATACCCATTCCTCCATCAATGCTGATCTTCGAGACTACCTATTGTCGCACCTGGTGACTCAAGCTGTGCTGAAAGGATCGGAGGATTAGATGGCACGGTGGCGCAATCTCCCACCCCACCTCTTCCTCTCATCCTTGTCCCCCTCCCCCCCACCCCCCCACCTCTCTCTCCCCCCCGCCCTCGTCTCCCCCTCTCTCCTTAACAGCCCACAGGGTGCTGATGTGGGAGGACGGACACTTGGTCCCTCAGGCGGTGCTGATGAAGCTGTAAGATCAGATGTCACATGCGCGCAATCGCCCACCCCATCCCCTCCCCACATCATTCTCTCCCCCTCTTCTCTCCCCTTCTCTACGCCTCCCCTCCAGGGTGCTGATGGGGGAGGACGGGTACCTGGTGCCTCAGGCCGTGCTGAGGAAACTGGAGGACCAGAAGGCACGGGGTGGCGCAATCTCGCACCCTATCCCCTCCAGCCTCACCCCATCCCCCCCCGCCTTGCACTGCAGGGTGCTGATGTGGGGCGACGGGTACCTGGTACCGCAAGCATTGCTGCAGAAGCTGGAGGACCAGATGGCACGCTGGCGCTATCCCCCACCCCCTACCCCCCCCCCTCCCGTCATTGTTTCCCCCTCTTCTCTCCCCCTCTCTCCTCGATAACCCGCAGGGTGCTGATGTGGGAGGACGGTTACTTGGCGCCTCAGGCCGTGCTGAAGAAGCTCGAGGACCAGATTGCGCGCTGGCGCTATTCCCCACCCCCTATCCCCCCCTCCTGTGCCCTCTTCTCTCCCCCCCTCTCCTTGATAACCCCACAGGGTGCTGATGTGGGAGGACGGTTACTTAGTCCCTCAGGCCGTACTTAAGAAGCTGGAGGACCAGATGGCGCGGTGGCGCAATTCGTCCTCTAGTGCCGCCGGAGGCAGCAGCAGCGGCCACGCGGACGCTGTACCCGCTTTAGAGGAGCTGTGCTACGACTGGAAGCAGCTGCATGCCACGTATCTCAAGTTCTCCTACCAGATCTACAACTATGGCGAAGGGTACGACTGGGGGCTCTGGTTGTTGCAGGGGATAAGGGTTTCGGGTGCTCGTTCAGAGGAGCTCTGCTGCGACTAATAGCAGCTGCACGCGGCGTACCTTAAGTTCTCCTACCAGATATATAACTATTGCGAAGGGTACGATTGAGGGCTTTGGCCGTAGGGGATAAGGGTTTTCTATGATCGTTTTAGAAGAGCTCTGCTACGACTGGAAGCAGCTGCACGCCACGTATCTGAAGTTTCCCCACCACATCTGTAACTACGGCGAAGGTTAGGGCTTTTGAGTCGACTCGAAACCCACCACATCTGTAACTACGGCGAAGGTTAGGGCTGCCATGCTTGGACCGTTTGCGGGTTTTGGTTGTAGAGAGGGAAGGAGCTCTGATGCGACTGGAACCAGCTGCATGGCACGTTTGAATTTCTCCTACCGGATGATGCTTAACCGCGGCGAAGGGTAAGACATGCTGGCCACTGGTCAGGGGCTTGCTTGTACGCCACTGTGATTGGGTAAGACAGGGTAAGACAGGCTGAAGAACTCATCTCCTCCACCTCTCACTTTCTCCCTCTCCCCGCATCCCCTCACTCCTACCTCCCCTCTTCCCGCAGGCTGGTGGGGTCGTGTGTGGCAGCCGAAGCAGCGGAGTGGGTGTACAGCCATGCCAAGTACCACACCGATGCACTCAACTGCGTGCAAAGCCAGGTGAGCTGGGAATGTCGGCCTCTGCTCTCTCATTCACCAGTCTCTGATTGACCACCCTCTGCTGCTGTGCTGCTATCCTTCGTTGCCTGCGTTGCTCAATGCCTTTGGTGCCCATCACCCTGTCGCGACTCGCTCGCCCTTGCTCTCACTTCCCCTGTCTTTTGCTCTCTCCCCCGCTTTTGTGCCTCTACCCCTCAACAACCTTCCCTCACACCCAGTCTGCATGTCACCCACCTCTCCTCCTCCTTCGCTCTCCCCCTTTCTCTCTCATGCAGCATCCACCGGGCTGGGCGGAGCACTTCGCTTCTGGCATCAAGGTGCGCTGCGTGTCTGCTTGTCAGAAGCACGTTGCTCCCTGGCATGACAACGGTTGTCTGCCATCACTGCTATTTTTTAGGCGCCTCAAAAACAGAATCACGTTGCTCCCTGGCATGACAACCGTTGTCTGCCATCACTGCCATCACTGCCATCACTGCCATCGCTGCCATCGCTGCCATCGCTGCCATCGCTGCCATCACTGCCATCACTGCCATCACTGCCATCGCTGCCATCGCTGCCATCGCTGCCATCGCTGCCATCACTGCCATCACTGCCATCACTGCCGTCACACACCCCCTCTCATGACTTCTCCCTCTCATACGCTGGTCCTCTCCCGCATGCCCTCTTGCATTCCTCCCTTCTCACGTGTACCCAGTAGTTCTCACTCCACGAGATTGAGTGAACGCGCCTGTCCAATGTGCGTCTCCATTGTTGCACCTTCGCAGGCTCAATCCATGTTCTGCCATTCGCCCTACCATCATCCTTAACTTTGTGCACCGTTTCTCTACCCACGTCACAGAGTTTCTCTCTCTCTCTCTCTCTCTCTCTCTCTCTCTCTCTCTCTCTCTCTCTCTCTCTCTCTCTCTCTCTCTCTCTCTCTCTCTCTCTCTCTCTCTCTCTCTCTCTCTCCTCCGCCGCCATGTGCAACCCACTAACAGACCATCGCCATAATCCCAGTGCCTGGCGGTGCGGTTCAGCTCGGTTCTGTGCTCCTGGTACGCCCCCCTCCCCCCCCTCCCCCCCCCCCCCCCCCAAATGGCTCCTAAACGTCTTGTACATCCCCCCGTAGACTAACCCGCCCTGCTGGTCCTTAAGGCATCCGACGTGAGCATTGGAATGTCCTGTGACTGTAGGTTCTGGTCCAGAACTGTGAGAACCTGTCAACCTTTCAACCTTTCAACCTATGCTTGTCGACTCAAGAACAAATTTCTCCCTTTCCCTCGTCCCTCCTGCCCCCCCCCCCCCTCCCCCCCCCCTCTCGCCGACAGATCAAGGAGGACCCGAGCATCTCACAGGGCCTTTGGAAGAAGTTCGAGCAGCTGCAGAAGATTCCAGGAGTCTTCCTCCCGGATTTCATCCCAGAAACGTCCACCACCCCCGCCAGTATCGCCAAGCCTCTCCCCATGCCGCCCTCCCACCTGCCCATCCCCCACCATCCCGCCTCCCCTTCCTCCCCCGCTCCCTCAGCCTCCCCATCCAACTCAATTGCCTCCTCCCCCCATCCCCCCTCGCGCCACCCCTCCTCTGCCGCCCACCCCCCCTCGTCTAGATTGAGCCAGCGGTCTAGAGTGGGTCCACTTAGATCTGATCCGCCACGATTTGATTCTCCCAACCGATCCACGCAACGAGCCTTGGCACAGCTGTCCATCCTAGGCTCGCCGTCAGGTTCGGCAACCGTACCTGTCATACCGCCTGCTGCTCCCGGACCTGCTGCATCCGGGGGTGCTGCCGCACCTGTGATGAGCTCTCTGGCACCAGCCAATCGCATGCTGACATCTGGCGTCCGCTCACACTCTCTCTCAGCAGCAGATGTGCTAGCAGTCTTGACACGGGGAGATGGAGGGGGGACGGGAGGGGGAGGGGGAGGGGGAGGGGACAGGCGCACTGGCAACATGAGCAGCAGTGGCATGATAATGGGGTCGCCTGCTGGTTTCGGCCGGACGGCATCGGCAGGAGGACTAGTGCGGCTGGAGCAGCACCGTTTTGAGCAGCACAGGCCAGAGCAGCAGCGGGCAGAGCAGCTTTTTCGACTGCAGTCGTCCAGAGGGTCCTCCCCCTCGCCCTTTGGCCCGTCGCCCTACGGGTCCCCCCGCCACCGCCGCAGCAGCACCAGCCCCAACACCAGCGGGGCGTCCTCCCCCCGCTCCCGCATGAGCTGGGGCAGTGGGGGGGAGAGCGGGGGGCCGCGGGCGGGGGAACGGGCGGGGGAACGGGCGGGGGAACGGGCGGGGGAGCGGGTGGCAGCAGCATAGGGGGGAGCGGTGCTGGAGCAGGTGGTGCTGGTGGTGGAGCGAGGGAGAGGTTGAGTGGGGGTGGCGGCAGTGGGAGCCTGAAACGGCCGTTAGAGGAGGACAGCTGTGGGGCGGAGGAGATGGATTGTGGCAGGCTGAGTGGAGGGGGTGGTGCGGAGACAGCTGGGAGACGAGTGTGTGGCACAAGAGAGGGGGGCGCTAGAGAGGGGAGTGAGAGAGAGGCGATGGCAGGGGATGGTGCTGCCGCTAGTGGTGATGGTGCTGCTGGTGCTGCTGGTGCTCCCGGTGCTGGTGCTGGTGCTGGTGTTACGAGACAGGGGTCTGCAGGGGCGGACGGGCAGGCACAGGGAGCAGCAGGAGAGGGGGAGAGCAGTGGTGGTGGGGCTGCCAGTGGGGGGGGAAGATCATCGGCACCAGTGTCAGCGCCGGGAAGCCAGGGCAGCTTTGGGTCGGGCGGGCTGCGTGATCTAAAGCTGGCGTTTGCCCCGTTTCCCACGTCCGAGGAGGAGAGGCGGAAGGCGGAGGAGCAGTTCCGCAAGCTGGCACGGAAAGCAGAGTTCAATGAACCCTCTGTGGCCGCTGCTGTCAAGCTCTCGAGAGCCTCCATGAGCCGAGGGTCCTCAGGTGATTTCTCAGGTGCTCCTTCAGGTGCTGGAGGTGGTGGGGCTGGTGGTGGGCTGGTGTCCCCAGGTGGGAGCGGGTCCAAGGGGACGGACTCCCCCCTAGCGCCCATGGAGGTGACCAGCACAGGGGACAGGCTGGACGCGATACTGTCCCCTGCGCTATTGTCACCTGCAGTAAGATCACCTTCGTTACAGTCACCTGCACTAGGTGGCGGGTCGGCGCCGCAGGGCCCTCTGAGGAAGCGGCTGGCCACACCGGAGCTGCACAGGCGGCTGAGCCGAGAGTCGTTTCCGGACTTCGAGCTGGAAGGAAAGCCCACTGCCACTGCTGCTGCTGCTGCTGCTGGTGATGCTAGTGCTGCTGGTGCTGCTGGTGCTGCTGCTGGTGGTGCTGCTGCTGTTGGTGCTGGTGCTGGAAGCAGGCTCGGCACCACACCTGGGCTTAATCGAAGCTCATCGTTAGGTCCGGGAGTGATGGCACGGCGACCAGAACCATCATCCGTTGCTGTTTCCATGTCTGGAGGTCCGACAGCGAGTGCAGCAACGGGGGGAGCTTCAACCAGCCTCGGCAAGACCTCTAGCCTCGGCAAGACAGCTAGCTTTGGCCAGCCTAGCTCGTCTGCAGCAGGAGGTCCGGAAGGAGCTTTCGAGCCTGTTCCCGCGCCTTCGAAGGAGGCTATGGCGCTGGCGATCCTAGGGCAGATGATGGCCGGCGGCGATCTAACGGCTCCGGAGGTGCATGTGCTGGCGAACCAGATCACCAAGATGGCCCAGAAGGAAACGAAACAGGGCGCAGCTGGGGAAGGTGGAACTGGGGCGGGTGGAGCAGGGGGCGCAAGAGCAGCAGGAGAAGCAGCAGGAGCAGCAGCAGGAGGAGCAGGAGGAGAAGGGAAGAGGGGTGCTAGTGCTGGTGCGGGAGGCAGCAATGGTGGTGGTGGAAGAGTGGGAAGCGGGGGGAGAGCCGGGGGATTGGCGGGGTTGGGTGGGCTGGAGGGGGTGATCAAGCTGCTGGGCAAGCAGGCGGGGGCGGCAGCACTGGCAGCGCGGCTCAGAATAGAGCTGGATGCGGGAGAGGGGGGTTCGAGTGAGGAAGGGGGAGGTGGGGGTATGGCGGTCAGTGGTGCTGCTGCTGCTGGTGCTTCGAGTGGTGCTGGTGGTGCTGGTAGTGGTGCTGGTGGTGCTGGTAGTGGGGCGATGAGTGTGGGTATGGCGGCAAGTGCTGCTGCTGCACTGCCAAGATCGAAATCAGATATTTCCATCGGTCACGACAGCGTTCAGCAGCAGCAGCAGCACGAGGGAGCACGGCCGGGAGATCTGCCAGGGATAGCACAGGCTGCACAGGGACAGCAGGCACAGAAGCAACAACAGAACACGCAAGGAGCTGCAACAGCAGCAGCAGCAGGATCGTTTGCTGCTGCTTCCACAGTCCCTACAGCAGCAGCAGGAGCACAACCAGTTGTGGCACCGGCAGCAGCAAACCGACCGTCGAGAGTGAGTGATCCTTCCGAAGCTGAGAGGCAGGTGCAGGCGCTGCTGCAGCGGAAGCTGAACGAGATGGCAGCAGGCTCGGCGCAGGCTCGGAAAGTCTTGCTGGATCGGCTCAGGGTTGAGGTGGCTGAGAGAAGAAAGGCGCTGGACTCGAAGAGAGGGGGGGGCGATGTGGGGGAGGATGAGGACGAGGACGAGGAGGAAGAAGAGGAGGAAGATGATAGTGATGATAGTGATGGGGGTGGGTCGGAGGGGGTAGGGAGAATGACAGGTGGTACAGGCATGGCAGCAGGTGTGGGGGGAGGTGTGGGAAGAGGTGGGGGAGAAGGAAGGGGAGGGAGTTTGGCAGGAGGTATTGGGAATGAGGCAAGGCTAGGAGGAATGGAAGGGACAGCAGGAAAGCCAGCAGGCAGCGGAGGTGGGAGAGGAGGGGTGTGGAAGGTGGAAGACATGGGAGGGTGGGGTGCCGGGTCCGGTACAAGACAAAATGGAGCTCATATGGGCGGCACTCAATTGGGCAGCATGTTGCCACCCACAGCTGATGTGAAACCAGGTTCACAGCCACATAGCCATGGTATAGGTCATTCCACATCAGCCTCACTGGCCAATCATGAGCAGACACCTGGCAGTGCCTGGAATAGTGGTCTTGGGTCAACCAGTGCATTAGGACTAGGAGGAGGCGGTGGGTTAAGTCGTGAAGGCTTCATTGGTGGGGGAGGTGGCTTAGGAGGAGCAGGAGGAGAAGGAGGTGGGGGAGAAGCAGGGGGAGGGGGAGGGGGAGGGGGAGGGGTGCACATGGAAGGAGGTAGAATGCGATTACAGAAAGAGGATTTAGTGATGCTGGATGTGGGGGATGTCGACATGTGGGGCTCTGGGGGGGACTCCGCCCAACCAACGCCCAGTGCTGGTCTTGCCACCATCCAGAGTGCTTTTTCTGAGGTCAGTGCGACGCGCATCGCTCTCTTTCCCCCCTCCTGCCACACACTCACACAAACAGACGCACCCTCACCTCAACCCCCCCCCCCAAAGAGGCACAGAGGCACACGTGCATGCCCACACCTACGTCCCCATTGGCTCTTGTGGCTGCTTCCACCGTTTCCTCTCCACACGCGCTCAAAAGCATGGCCCATCACACACCCATCCTCGCCTGCTGCCCCTTCCTTCTCTCGCCTCTCTTCACGCGTTCAGAATCAGTGCCCATCTCACTCATTCCCTCTCTCCCTTCCCCTCCCTCCTCACTCCTCCCTACACCTGTTCAGAAGCAGGACCCGTCACACACTCACCAAGACACACTCTTTCTGGCAGAAGGGGAGCTGCCCCCCTGGCAGGCACAGCAGGAGCAGCTGCACCAGCTAGATCAGCAGCAGCAGCAGGGGCAGGGGCAAGAAAGGGGGCTGGAGGATTTCAGCATGTTTCTAGATGATCTGGACTTGGGGGTGGAGCTGCCTCCGGACCTGCACTTTGCATCGGCATAGTAGGTACATAGGAAACCACCGTTCTAGGCCTCCTAAATGATGCATCTATGGCCTGAAATTTAGAGGCACATGGCTGAATATTTAAGTATTTCTGCAGGCTGACGCATAGGTGGGAAGTGTGTGTTTGTGCCCACATGGCGAGAGAATACTGCACCATTTGGTTTCCAGGAAAAGAGGATCGAGTTATCACAGCACACGAAAGAGGAGGAGAATTCTCCATTCGCTTAGGGCGAATTCCTATGAAGTATGATCAGAATCAGAAACGCGAATTTCATTATTGATCTCCTTGCCTGTCTATTCCGCCGAGATCAGAAGAGAGGGCAGCCACCTCAGCTTCGCACAGGAACGTCGGATTGGCTGCTCCTACAAACACATTCGGGCTAGGACATAAACTCGCGCCAGGCACAAGTCGCGTGGCGAAAGCGCGCCAACAAGCGACGCGCAGCGAAACGAAAATCTAAAAAACGAACATCACATATGGCACATTTGAGACACTAGTATCTCATTTCCGCATCATGTCCACAGAATTGGTCTGTTATGGATGTCCACAGAGTGGGGTACATTGCTTTGAATGACAGAAGCATCGACATTATCTACAACATGCTGCTGATCCTTCGCTTCGGTATGGACATGCTACTGTTGCTTTGAGTGCCTCTCATGCTTTGTACACCGCGTTCCTCTTGCGTCCTAATCCTTGTTATAAGACCTAGGCGGAGTCCTTGCCACCGCCGAAGCCATCATGGTCGAACTCCATCCCATCGAGATGCTTCACATCGCCCCAGTGGAGGACGCGCCACGTGTGATCAGCTGACACGCGGACGACGTTGATCGACGCGTTTATGACCCCCATGGACGAGTCGTGGCCCAACGCGTGGCGGTGAAGCGCCATCATCACGGCGCCATGGCAAACGACCACCACGCGCTTCCCTGGAATCACGGAAGAGATGGATGGAAGAAGAGCAGAGGACGACGGGGTTTGGGGGGGCGGATAGTGAGAAAGGGGGAAGGGGCGGGAGGGGGAGGGGAATAGGAAAGCCAGGAAGAACCTAAGAGAAATTGTTACGGTAAAACATTCGCGGGATAAGTGCTTAGGACAGTTCTCCTCGGCATATTTCAGGATCATTGGAGAGGAACTCCAACGGTTTGTCTTTCTTCTATCTCACCTCGGTGATTGCGGGCGATCTTATCCACCGTCTTGCTCGTCCTCTCGACCAGCTGAGCCATGCTCTCCCCGCCGCCCTGAACCACCGACACAATACATTACGCCACAATAGGAAAGACGGCCCGCACGGTTGGTATCTTGAAGAAAGAACGCTACTTTTTATTTTTTTGTGGTGCGATTACAAGCACGGTACGTTCAAGAAAATCGTTTTCTACGTAGTTCATTTGGTGAATAAGGAACATGCGAACTCTCTTACCGGAATGGCAGTAGAGGGGTCCTCAGAATGAAAGGCTTTAAACGCCTCCGGCTGTTTGAGCGGCGCCTCGTGAGCCAGGCAGCCCTGCAGGTGTCCGATGTGCCGCTCGCGCAGTCCCACGTCCCTGACAATCCCCGGGAATCCCGCGCGGTCCGCGATGGCCTGAGCCGTGTCCGCGGCGCGGCGCAGATCCGACGCGTAGATGGCGCAGAAGGGGAACTCCCACGTGGCGAATCGAGCCGCGACCTACACATTGTAATAAGAATGTAAGTACGCCACGACTCACACCCTACGACTTCCACTTCAGAAACAAAAATTGTGAACAAAGTAAAAAGGGAAAGCAGTATCTTTGCACGGAACGCGCGTGATAAGTTCGAACGCCGGGAGGCTGCAAGGCTGCAGGGAACCGTACGGCTTGAGCTTGCGCGAGACCCGCGGCGTTGAGCTCCGTGTCGAGCTGGCCCTGCAGGCGGTGGTCGTGGTTCCAAAACGTCTCGCCGTGCCGCACCAACACCACGTCCGTCGAGCCCGCCGGAATGGGCGCCGTGGGATCGTACACGTAGCCCTCCTCGTAGCTCGCCGGCTCGATGGAGACATCCGACGTGGTCTTATCGCGGGATGTCTTATCGAGGATGGCGTGTTCGAGCTGCGAGGTGTAGATTGCGTGGCGGAGAGCGTCGACGGCGACGGAGGCTTGGAAGTCCGACGGGTGGACGAAGAGGCTTCCGCTGCTGCTGACGTCAGGCATGAGCATGGCTGTAGGGCCGGAGACGTCGCCCATGGGAGGAGCCATTATCAAAGGAAATAATAGATTGGCTCGAAAAAGAATGCGAATCTACGTGCGGCTGCGATATCTGCAGCTCTACAGCGTCTTGGTATGTACAAGAGCCTGGACGAGAGCTGGCTTCACTGACTCGATTGGGAGCAGCGAAAAGACCGGGAGCAGTCAGTGGTATGGGACCAGGCAACGTGCTCAGGGGTGTATGCACAAGAGGGGAGGTTGTGGGAACGAACGTGTAGACAGTGTAGAGCACGCTGCGTGATGGCGTTCCAGGTAATGGAGGCCTCAATTTATGCTGTTGGCTCGTCTGGCCCCCAGACCAGAGCTCGAGTTCGACGGGCCTGGAGAGAGCCACACAGCTACCATTCCAAAATGGGCTCGGTTGGGTTTTCTGCTGGAAGGACCGGCAAAGGGAGGTGAACGGATTGTGGAGAATTTACCCAGATCCCTCCAACTCTGACCGAGCGCATTCGTGCAAGTTTTCTGGTGAATCTACTCAGACTAATCGACAGGTACGCTATTTCACTAATGAATACCGCTGAAAATCGGAAGATACACGTTTGTTGAAGTGCGTTCAATTCACTAGGACACAGGGGAACCCGAGAAAACAGGATATATGGATGACAGAAAGTGTGAGGGATTCTGGATGCGCTTCGCGGGCAATCTGCCTGTCCATTGGCCAATGACAAACGCGAAGAACGTTCTTGTGGGTCCATTACGATTTCGAGCGAATGTGGGAGTGCCACGACAGCTGTTCGGAGAAATTCTATGGCGGGCACAAGCACGGACGAATGGCCATTCGAAACTAATGCACGTGAAATATTTCTGAGTCGGACACGACCACTAACAGAACAACACGCGGAAAGCCTCTTCCGCCAATGTAAACCAAGCAGTGTATTGAGGGTTATTTGTAGTGGGTGACTTCTAATGACACCAATATGTAAAATCACACTATGAACTATAGTACCAGCTAAATTCTTAGCCTTGTACAACTGTCTGCTGTACTAGCGCTACACAGACACCAATATCAGGTTCTCTTCACGGGAGCACTCTGTCTGTACACGCCGACCAATCAGCGAGCCTCCCCAGCTGGGAGATTCGCCTCCTTGGGAATTCCGATGACCTTGGCCACTGCCTTGTTCATCCTCCCAAATCTCGGGAGGTCCCCCTGCCGTTCCATCCCTTGAGTACAGTACTTGGCTTGTCTTCAGCAACCTGCGATCAGCTTGCGTTCCTGCCTTGTTTGAATTTGCTGATCGCCTAGCATATCTCTCCATTGATCGAATCTGCAACTGCTTCATTGGTCGACCTCTGTTGTATAGCCGAGGAGATCAGGTTTCAGCGATGGCTGGCCAGGTGTGTAGTGGGTCCAAATCGGCTTTTCGCAAGACGTACGAACCCGTGTTCATTATCGTTAGGTTAGCGAGATCGCTGCAAGTTTCCATGCGCTTGGCTGGTAGCCATGGCTCTGTTCTCATTTCAGTCCTCCCTCCACGTCCTCTTCCACTTCCTTCCTCTGATCTGCCCTCGCAACCTCGTTCCCCCTCGATCCGTGTCGCCAGGTGTGTGTGGTAACCGGCGGTCGCGGTTTCGTCGGTCGCTGGCTGGTTCGCAAGCTGTTAGCGACGGGCGAATGGGCGACGGTGCGGGTGGTGGACATGGCGCCCGAGCTCAAGCTCACGGACGACGAGGCTAACGGCGAGGGCGAGGCGGGGCTCGTGCGGGACTCGGCGCGCAGCGGACAGCTGGAGTACATCTCGGGGAATGTCTGCGATCGGACGGCCATGGTTAAAGGTGGGTGCGATCGGATGGTCATTGTGACAGATCCGTGCGATGCGATGGCTGATGCAAGGGGGGACCAAGGGACGGACCCTGGCCACGCACGGTTGCCACGCTTTCGCGTCTTCCTATGTCTTTAAGAATACCCCTTCGCATCCCTGTCCTGGAAGGCTGGACATTGCTCCTGTTTTTGGCGCGCTTCAAGGGCGCTTCTCCCCCTCGTTCCCTTGTGTTCCACCTGCCCCTGACCAGTCTTCCAGGGCGCATCTGCGGTGTTCCACATGGCGTCGCCCAACCACGCGCTCACGGACCTCGCCCCCCACTACACCGTAAACGTGCTCGGTGCGTACTATGCCTGCCGCGCTTGAGCCGTTTTTTACAACTCTCGAAAACCAACTCAGCCCTTTTTAAATCCTCCCTCGCTCCACCGCTCGCTCCCATCCCCTCTCCTTCCCCCCCTCCTCCCCTCCCCCTCCTCTCTCCCCCCCTAACACGCGTCTCCGTCTCTGCTCCTCTCCCGACCTCAAATCGCTTCAAATCGCCTCACGTCGCCTCACTCGCCGCGGCACCTTTGCCTTTGCACCTAGCAGCCTCACTTGCGCCCTGGTCGAATGCACGGGAATGTGGACGTGGCTGTTGCATTCCGAGAGGCAGTCGCGCATCCTCTCATTCAACACGCCCTCCACATCACCCTCCTGCACCTCCCCCTTAAACACTCCCCCTCCTCTCCCTTCTCCCCCCCCCCCCCCCCCCCCACCCCCCCCCCCCTCCTCCCTCCATCACCCATCTTCCTATCTCCCAATAGCCCCACCTCCTCCCCCTCCTCTTCCTTTCCACCTCCTCCTTCCACCATCCCACCCTCCACTCCCCCGTGTGCTGCCAGGCACCAAGAACGCGATTGCGGCGTGCGAGGAGGCGGGTGGGCGTGCGTCGGCTCGCCTCCCCCGGCCTCCCTGAACCGCCTTCCTCCCCCACGTTCCCTCCCCCTCACCATCGCCGTGTGTGCTTCCTCGCTACCTACCTGCCCTCCCCGTGTGCTGCCAGGCACCAAGAGCGTGATCGCGGTGTGCGAGGAGGCGGGCGGGCGTGCGTCGGCTCATGTGAACCCCTTGCCTCCTCCCCCCACGCTTCGTCTCCCTCACGACGTGCCCTCATCTTTTGCTGCCAGGAGGCGGGCGTGCGCCCATCCTCGTCAGCCTCTCTGAACCCCATTCCTCCCCCCACGTTTCGCCTCCCTCACTACCTGCCCTCCCCCGTGTGCCGCCAGGCACCAAGAACGTGATCGCTGCATGCCAAGAGGCCAGCGCGCGTCAGCTCGTCTTCTCCAACGCTGCCTTTTGAGTCGACTCAAAGGTCACCTCAATGCTCTTTCCTCCACCATCCCACCGCCGTCTTCCCCATGGACTGCCAGGCATCAAGAACGTGATCGCGGCGTGCCAGGAGGCGGGCGTGCGGCGGCTGGTCTTCACCAGCTCGGCCAGCGTGGTGTTCGACGGGCGCCACGACATCAAGAACGGGGACGAGTCGCTGCCGTATGCCGGCAAGGTAGGGACGAGTCGCTTCCACACATGCCACCAGTTCTCCCGGCGCCCCCTTCCCCCACACTTCCCCTCCACTCACTTCCCCCCCACTTCTCCCCCCCACTTCTCCCCCCCACTTCTCCCCCCCACTGACCCCCCACTTCCCCCCCACTTCTCCCCAACACTGACCCCCCACTTCCCCCCCCACTCCCCCCACCCCGCCCCTCTGGATGAACTCGCTATCAGTGTGAGCAGCGCCAGACATGTTTTGCTTCCAGCCTCGTGACAAGGACGCACAAATATGGAATGGCTTGCGCTTGGAGAGCTCCTCTCACCCTACCGCGTTTCACCTGTCCCGTTTTACATCCATCTACAGGCTACTAACGCGTACGGGGAGACCAAGGCGCAGGCGGAGGCCATAGCCCTGGCGGCCAATGGTCAGGGCGGGCTGCTGACGTGCGCCCTGCGCCCCAGCAACATCTTTGGCCCGGGGGACCCTGACCTCGTGCCCATCACTGTCAGAAACGCGCAGAAGGGGAAGCTCAAGGTGGGTGGGTGTGCGTGTGGGCGTGTGTGTGGGTGTGTGTGTGGGTGTGTGTGTGGGTGTGTGTGTGGGTGTGCATGTGGGTGTGCGTGTGGGTGTGCGTGTGGGTGTGCGTGCGGATAGAGGGGCGCAATGCAGTGGCGGGAAAGGGAAAGTGGGAGAGGGGGATAACTCGAAGTGTGTGAGTGTGCATGGAGGGGTGTGGGGGGGGAGGGGAGAGGAGGGAGGAGGGTTGAATTCATGAGAGAGGGGCTGCTGACGTGCGCCCTGCGCCCCAGCAACAAATTGGTCCGGGGGACCCTGACCTCGTGCCCATTAGCGGCGCGCAGAAGGGGAAGCTCAAGGTGGGTGGGTGTGCGTATGGATAGAGGGACGAGGCGTAGGGAGGGGACAGGGGGAGGGGAGGTGGGGGAAACACCCTAAGCTGTGTTGTGCGCGCCAGCAACATCTTTGGCCCGGGGAAGGCCTTGATCTGGTGCCCATCAGCGTCAGGAACGCGCAGCAAGGAAGCTCAAGGTGCGTCGTGGGGTAGGAGGGGAGGGAATGGGGGCGCATGCGCATGGGGGGACGCATTGGGGTTACGGCCCAGTGGCACTAACCATTGTGGGCGATGGGGAGAGCATGCCTGATTGGGCGCACGTGAAGAATGTGTGGAGGATGCGGTGTACGTGCTCTGTGTTCCCATGGCTTCCCCCATGTTCCCATGGCTTCCCCCGTGTTCCCATGGCTTCCCCCATGTTCCCATGGCTTCCCCCATGTTCCCATGGCTTCCCCCATGTTCCCATGGCTTCCCCCATGTTCCCATGGCTTCCCCCGTGTTCCCACTACGTCCCTCCACCGCAGTTCATAGTGGGAGACGGGGAGAACATGTCGGGCTGGGCTTGTGTGTGGAGGACGTGGTGCGCGCTCATATCTGCGCCCGCTCCTTCCATTTCTCCCCCTCTGTCTCCCCTCTCTCCGTTTCCCCTCCCGTCCCGCCGCCGCAGTTCATAGTGGGAGACGGGGAGAACATGTCTGATTGGACGTACGTTGAGAACGTGGTGCACGCTCATATCTGCGCTGAGAAAGCTCTTAGCGAGTACAAGGGCGACCCAGCCAGTGAGGACTCGCCAGCTGGCAAGGTATGGTGGTGCTCGCGTTTTGTGTGGTGTGGGGTCGTGCTGGACAGGGGAATCGCTGACCTTGAAGACCTTGCCCATTCCTGCCCTTCCGCACCTTGAAGACCTTGCCCATTCCTGCCCTTCCGCACCTTGAAGACCTTGTCCATTGTCCAGGGATGAGTGCATTGCTGTTCTCAATAACCTCCAATGATGAAAGAACTAACCTATATACATGTATATATATATATATATATATATAAAAATAACTCTCTCTGAACCAACTTTAGAAAAATAAAAGCCACCCTTGGCCCGGGAACTTTCATACCACCCCCTTCTGTCACAGGTGGTGCCTTGGGGATTTTTTCCTGAGCTCGCCCCTTCTCTCGAACAGAATCACTCCTTGCCACCCTTGCACCCCTCCCTCCCCTCCTCCCTGCTCCCCTGTCTCCCTCCCTGCAGGCCTACTTCGTGACCAACGCGGATCCAAGGCGGTTCTGGGACTTCATCTTCGCCATCGCAGGGGGCTTCGGCTACAGCAGCAAGTATGGCGCCATTGCTGCTCGCGTTTTCGCTGCTCCCCTCTTGGCTACTTGGCTGCTCCCCTTTTGGCTGCTCGCCTGTTGGCTGCTCGCCTGTTGGCTACTCAGCCATCCCGGTGCTCTTCCCGCACATTCGGCTTAACCCTCCTGTGCCTGAACCCTATTCCTCAACCCTTCAGGCCCATAGCCAAGCTCCCAGCAGACGTCTTGAGTCCAGTGGCAGCAGGCGTGGAAGCTGTTTTAAAGACCCTTGGCTGCAGTCTGTGTCTTGGAGCCGACTCTTGTCCCCCTCGTGCCTCCGCTTCCACCTCCGTTTCCCCACACTCCCTTATGCATCCAGGCCCATAGCCAAGCTCCCAGCAGACGTCTTGATTCCCATAGCAGCGGGCGTGGAGGCCGTGTCAAACGCCCTGGCCCCTTTCGGCGTGCCCCCGTCAGATTTCACGCCTGCCCGTCTGCTCATTGCCACCCGCTGGCGGACCTTTTCACCTGCCCGGGCGGGCAGGCTGCTGGGCTACAAGCCAATCGTCACAGTTGATGTGAGTAGTTGGTTTAGGGTGGCCACAGTTTGTGGTCCTCGGATAGTGCGGGTTAACTTGGAGGAATTGGAAAGGGAGACATGCACCATTGGAAAGTGTGCCAGAGTTGGTGTGTAAGACTAGTCAAAATCCAACTCAACTCTGGCTGACCTGCTGCTGCTGGGGCAAGGCGCGCACTTGTCGCCTTAACGCCCCTCTCCAGCCCTTGGCGCGCTATAGGAGCAGCTCTCTCCCCTTCGCTTTCTCTCCCCCCACCCCCTACACTTGCTCTCCCCCCGCCCCCTTCACTTGCTCTCCCCCCGCCCCCTTCCTTGCTCCCTCCAGGAGGGGCTAGAGCGCATGATAGCATCGTACCCGCATGATGGCACCTCCAGGGCAGCGCGTACGAGAAGCAGAGGGCAGCAGAGGGCAGCAAAGGGCAGCAGAGGCAGCAGCAGCGAGAGCAGCACTCTGAGATTACTCTTACGGGCTCTCTCCCTTATTTCTTCCCACTCATTTCCCCCGGTTACCCTCTCCCTGTAGGAGGGGGTAGAGCGCACAATAGCATCGTATCCACACCTCCAGCGCAGCGCGTAAGAAAAGCAAATGGCAGCAGAGGCCGCAGCAGCGAGAGAAGCGTTGAGAGAGCCCTCCCATATGCCCTTTTCCCTTCCCCCCCCGTACCAGGAGGGTCTAGAGCGCACCACTGCATCATACCCGCACCTCCAGCGCAGTGCATACGAGAAGCAGACGGCAGCAGAGGGCAGCAGAGGGCAGCAGAGGGCAGCAGAGGCAGCGAGAGCAGCGTTCAGAAAGCGCCATCACAGGCTCTTTCCCTCCTGTTTTCCCACTTATTTCCCCCGGTTGACCCCCTTTGCAGGAGGGGCTAGAGCGCACAATAGCAGCGTACCCTCACCTACAGCGCGCAGCATACGAGAAGGAAAGGGCCGCAGAGGCAGCAGCGGCGCGAGCAGCGTTCAGAAAGCGCTCAGCTGTGCACAAGGCGCTGGGAGGAGGGGTGGTTGCCGACCTGCTGCTGTGGCAGGACGCGCGGATGTCAGTGCTGGCGATGCTGCTGGCGTGGATGGTGCTGCGGTGGGCCATCGGGAGGGTGGGGGGGACTCCGGTGCTCTCCCTTGCAGCTTCTGCAGCAATGGCGTTCCTGCTGCTCGCGGCAGTGCTGCATCGCGTTGCTCCGGTGGCCAAGAGGTGAGACAGACAGCATATGAGAGGTAAGAGGAAATGGTGGCTCTCCCCCACGCACAAGGCGCTGGGAGGCAGGGTGGCTGGGGACCCGCTGCTGTGGCAAGACGCCTGTATGTCGCTGCTGGCTGTGCTGCTGGCGTGGATGGTGCTGCGCTGGGCCACTGGAAGAGGGGGGAGACACCCGTGCTCTCCCTTGCAGCTTCTGCTGCCATGGTTTTCCTGCTGCTCGCGGCAGTGCTGCATCGCGTTGCTCCCGTGGCTACGAGGTGAGGAGAGATCATTTGTGCGTACAGTCAAGGGGTGGTACAGATGCCAAGGCATGTCCATACAGCTCTGTGGAGTCATTTTTTAGAATTCCAAAAAATGACTCCACTGTTTATACACAGCTCTTTGGCATCTGTACGAATCTGTCAAGTACACCTCTCTGCACGTTTGATCTTAATCTTCCCCTCCGCTTGCCTCCTTCCTTCATCCATCCCTCTGTCACAGGTTCCGCCTGCCTCTGCCTGACGTGGCGGCTGTTGAGTGGCGCATTCCCGAGAAGCCAGTGGTAGAGGCTGGCCAATGGGTGGCTGCCACGTGGAACGGCTCTGTGGCGGCCCTGCAGGAGAAGCTTCTGAACGAGAGGGACTGGGGCACTGCTGGCAAGGTGGGCGATGCAAGGGGGGAGAGGGGGGGAGAGGGGGGGGGGTGGTGGGGGGGAGATGGGGGACATGCAGGGAGCAGACGGGAGAGGGGGGCAATAGGCACCTCGTGTCATATTTTCCGTGCAGGAGAGGCTGCTGTCTGGCAGGGACTGGGCCGCTGCTGGCAGGGTGGGTGTGGGAGGGGAAGGTGTGGGGGAGGGGGGAGTAGGTATGGAGCATGTGTGGAGGCAGGGCCCTGCAGGGGAAGCGAGTGACAGGCAGGGACTGGCTGCTGCGGGCAAGGTGGGATTTGTGAGGGTGGGGAGAGAGAGCGGGTAGGGAGTTGGGATGGGAGGGGATGCAAGGGAGGGGCTGAAAGGGAGGGGGGGGGGTGGAGGGCAGGGGGTGGGGGAGGGAGGCCATTGAAGTTTTTTGGGTGGGTATCTGCTTAAGTGTAGGTCTTGGGGGCTAGGTATCGTTCGGGCGGAGAGTCCATTGAAAATCTGTTAACTTCAGAGATTGCTTTTCTTCGTATGTTTGTTTCCTGCACCTGCCCACCTGCCATGTTGCCCTGATGTCAGGTGCTGGGTGTGCTGACTGTGCTTCAGCTCTTCTCATCTTTCATCAACATTCACACTCTTTCCTTCCTGGGTACGCTCTCACACTCACTAACACACAGATGCACACACACACACACGTGCGCGCACGTGCGCTCACTCACTCTCTCGCTCTCACGGACACAAACATGCACAGTCGTACATCCATACTGTCTTATTCGTTCTCAGCACCCTTTCCTGTCAAGCATAGTGCGTTGCCTCTCCCCCCGCTCTCCTTACCCTTCCTCCCAACTCCCGCTTCCGCTTCCCTCTTATGCCTTCATTCCTTCATTTCTCACCCCTCCTGCCTCTCCTCCCTTGTTGCCTTGCCACCCCTATTCCAACCTCCCCATAACCACCACCCCCCATGCCCACCTCCCCAATGCCCACCTTCCCAATGCCCACCTCCCCATGCCCACCTCCCCAATGCTCACCTCCCCATGCCCACCTCCCCATGCGCACCTCCCCATGCACACCTCCCCACCCCATGCTCATCTCCCCCACACCAGCCCTACTGGCGGTGTTCGCAATCCCCTCTGTCCTGGACAAGAGACTAGGGAGCAAGGCGGCACTTTCCAGCAGCCAAGCCAATCAAGCGTCCTCCCCCTCGGGTGCCGTCACATCATAATTAGCCATACAAGCAGTGGTGCGGTGCGGGCATGCTATGGTTGACCCAAACATCGCTAGTTTACGGATAATAAGGGAGGTGGACTGAGTGGCCACACATACAATACATTGTCACGAGCAGTGCTGCCAGGTAGCGCCGGCAGGCAGTGCTGTCTGTGTTATAGTATTCATGGTTCCCTTACAGATGTGCTGTGCAGCCGTTAGCCCTTCCAACTTGGTGCCGCTGATTCCACGTCACAGTGCATGTCAGTGCATACAAAGCTACACTACACATGTATCATGATATGGTAAGAGGTGAAGCTCCTGGTGATATCTGTTTCTCTGCATGTGGTGCACAGCTAAACATCTCGATAATAAAGAAACCATTTTTCGAATTGTATGTGGTAAATTTATGTACATCTAGCTTAAACTACACTGGGCTTATACCATCCCAGGCTCCACATTTTCCTTATCGCCATCAAACATCCCCATCACCCCCAGCTGTCCACGCTCTTCCTCCCCCTCCACCACCACCCGTCCAAGTGCATGCTCGCTCCAGCGCTCATCCCACATATGCTCACTCCTCACTTGTGCACTTCGTCGATAGCTTCCCCCCCAACCAGGCTCCCTCCCAGGCCCACTCCCAGGCTCCCCCACCACGGGTTCACCCCCCACAGGTTCACCCACGCTCATGCCCCTACTCCCCCCCTGCCCCCCCTCTCTCTCTTCTCCCCCCCTCTGCTCCCCCTCTCTCCGATCTGCCTGTCTCTGCTCCCCTGTTCCTGCATCTGATCTCCTCCCCTCCCTTCCTGTCCCGCTCTCCCTCCCCCCACGCCACTCCCACGCCCTCACTCGCTCCATCACACCCCTGTCCCACCACCGCCTCCTCCAAGCCCCCATCCTGCCTCGTCGCTCCATCACATCAACCTCGGTAGTATCACTCTCAGTAGTATCACCTTCGATAGAGTCACCACCAAACCGTGCTCCAGCAGCCGACCTGTCACTCCTCTGCACCGCACCAGCCTCGCTACTATCACCCTCCATAGCACCACCCGCCACAGCACCACCATCGATAAGAGCTCTGAACGCCTGCCAGTCATACCGCTCACTTTCCCCGTACCCAACCTCCTCCCTTGGATCCCGCCCCTCTGCTCCCCCCCTTGTCAGCTGCCCCACTCCCTCCCCTTCACCCTGCCCCACTCTCCCCCCCTCCCTCTGCTCCTGGTTTTCCTCACCCCGTCGGCCCTCCCCTGGCTCTCGTCCAATGAGCAACAGGGAGGGGAGCGAGGGGCGGCAGTGGGAGGGGTGGAGGTGCAAGGGAAGGGAGGAGAGGGGGATAGCGCACGGGGCCATGGTGTGGCGTCGAGTGGGCAGGTCCCTATCCCTCAGAACCCTTCCCTTGCCCTTGGGAATTCTTCCCTCTGAATCCCCTCCTTTCCCCCATGCGCCCTCACTTACACGCCCGCTCCTGCTGCTGCTCACACTCTCTCCCGCCCTGCCCCTGCTCCTGCCCTTGCCCCTGCCGTCTCCAGCAGCTGTGCTGTAGCGTCGGGTGCTGCTAACCCTATCCCTAGCTGCAGCTGCTGTAACAGTGGCAACAGCTGTACCAAGTGTAACATCTGTAGCAGCTGTAGCGACGGTTGTGTCAGCTTCAGAGGTTGCAATGAGGGTTTCACCCCCCTCAACAGCAGCCTCTGGTTGAACTTCCTCCCAACCCCCGTAACTGCCTCCCTCCAGTGCCACCTCAGCTGCCGTGGTTCCCCCATCCGCCACGTCACCAACAACGGCCACGTCACCAGCCATCGCCACATCAGCAGAAGCCACGCTCACAGAAGCCGCGTCAACCAGAACCGGTTCCAACACAGCAGCAGCACCCAGCAGCACAGATACAGGCCCCACACCCCCCACATCCCCCAGAACCCCCAAACCCCCAGCTACAGTCACGGCCGCTACAATCACGTCCATCAGCTCGCCCACCATTTCCACCTTCTCCGCTTCCAGCCTCCCCACAACCGCATCCCGCTCCTCCCGCTGCTCCTCCAACGCCCGACCCATTTCCTCCAGGCTCGTCAATAGCCCCTCCTTCTCCCGTTGTGCCCCGGCCAGTGCTTCCTTCAAGGAATCGACCTCCGCCACGTGGCGTCTGCGCTCCGTTACAAGCTGCCCCTCCACCCCCCGCAGCGCCACCATCAGCTCCACCTCCCGCGCCCTCGCGCGCTCGGCGGAAGCCGCGGTGTCCGCGACGGCGGCGGCAACCGCGCGCTCCTGGCCTTCCGCCCAGGCCTCGCGCTCCGCGCGCGCCGACTCCAGAGCGCCTTCCGCCTGCGAAAGCGCCCCCTGCAGCTCTGCGACCTTCCGCTCGAGGAACCGCGCATACTCCGCCTCCTCGCTCTCCGCTGACCGAGCTTCCGCCAATGGCGCAAGGGCTGGACTCGGGGTGGAGGGCGACGGAGTTGCATGCGGGCTCCTGGCGGCTGGTGCAACGGGCCAGCGAGGCACGTCGCATTCGTCGTCCGATTCGTCGTAGTCGTCGTCATCGTCGTCCAGGTAGATCTTCGGCTTCTGTGCCATCGGCGACGCTACTGACGGTGCTGCCGCTGATGGAGACGCTGACGTGGCAACGGGCGACGACGGCGCGCCAAGCGCAGCCAGATCGCACGAGCTGTCGACACGTGGCATGGACAGCACGGCCCGCGTCGAGGCCTCCGTCAGCTTGCGCTGCGTGTCCATGAGCAGCGAGAGCGCCGCGTCCCTCGCCCTCATCAGCTCCTCGTTGATCGTCCGCGACTCGCTCAGCGACGACGTCAGCAGCGCGATGCGGCTCGCCGCCACCAATAGCAGCTCGCCGTTGCTCAGCCCGCTCAGATCGGGCGGCAAACTGCCGTCCGCCGCCGATCTCTCCGCCGCTTCCACACACCCACCCGCGTTTCCCAAGCTGCCGGCGGCCTGACCGTCAGACGGCTGGCCGTCAGAAAGCTGGCCGTCAGAGGTTTTAGCAGCGGCCTGAGAGAATGGGTCTTGGACGGCCGGCAGTGATTCGATCTGAGCCTCCGCGATAGTGAAGAGGTTGTCGTCCGAGGGACGCGGGGAAGAGGCGGCGAGAGCGGAGAAGGCGAAAGAAGACGCAGAGGAGCGGCGGGGGCACGCGGAAGGAGCGGAACCTCTTCCGCCCGAGGAGGACGAGGAGCCGCGCGCGCTGAAGGCGAAAGACGAGACGGACGAGCGACGCGCGCCGCCATGGTTGCTCCCACGCGCGGAACCAGCAGCGTCAGCGGCGCCATCGGCGGCATCGCCCGATTCCGAGGAGGAGGAGAAGGCGAACGAGTAGCGCGCGGGGCACGCGACGAGGATCGACTCCGCTAGCGCGCGGATCGCGCTGTCCCTGCGCCCACTCGCGGTGCTACTTGCGCCGGCAGCGGCGGCGGCAGAGGAGCGGCGGACGTGGTCGGTCGCATCCAACTGCTCGCACTGTTGGCACGAGAGACGAGACGAATCACGCGTAGAAGAATCATCAGGGTGTGATCGAAGAAACGAAAGGGACCAGCAGAGGACGATGCTAAACTGCAACGTGTGAGAGGAAGAATGCGGAAAGGAGAGTTTACGTCGTCATGCGGCAAGAGGAGACGGGGAATAGAGATGCACGCCGTACCAAGAGAGATCGGCCGTCGATTTGCCTCGAGCTGGCGCAGGAATCGCGACGGTAGAAGTGCGACTCCGACGCGGCGAACGCCTCAACGAATCGCGAGTCGACGAAGGCGTTCGTCCTGCCGCTCAGAGACGCGGCGTACACACGGTCGAGGGAAGATTGCGAGACACCTATTTTCAGCGTCGGAGTAACTAAGGAATGCTAGTAAGCGTCGAGCTAGTAGGCTGAAGTGCGGAGGCAAAAGTGCCGACTACGGTAACCAAGAGCTGAGAAGCCCAAGTACTGAGACTAGCAGGCTGAGAGAGCTAGCTAGTGAATGTAGCAGAGCAAGAGAACCGATAAGCGATTGAATGAAGTAAGTCGGCCTAAAATACGTCTCTGGAACCAGGCAGCTTGCTGAGGGGAACGACTGTCGGATGGGGAGAAGGGAGGGAGGGGAGAGAGCCCTTCAGTGGGGACCCAGACGAGCGATATTCCTGCAAAGGCGGAGGAGCGCAGGCAGCCAAGGTTCGGGGGGCAGGGGAGCGAAGCGCATTCTGGTTTGATGGAGCGGAGACCCGAATGCTTTCCACTTTGGGCGGGGCACTTGAATCTTGAAACTATCTTGTCCCGTCAATTCCCGCTGCCCGCTCAACGAACCCCGAAAGCAGCCAAGCTCGAGAAACATTCAAGTGTGCGCTTTGCTTGGCAGAAATGTGAAATCGCTTCGCGAAATCCATGGAATCTTGCGAATTTGCTTCGAAATGCTCGGACGGGAATTCGCGACGACCTCCTCCGCTGGAATGGAACACCAAGGCACATCTGATTTGTAAGGAATTACGATTCCTTACTTGGGCTCGCCACAGCGAGTACGCGCGAACCTCTCGGGTCCGCAGGCTCGGCCCTCAAGTCACGCGCCAAACCAGCCCCCGTCGACCTTTTCGGCCCCAACCTGATCCCGAGTCCCCCCGAACCCATTTTGACCCCGTCACCCTCGGGACTACCGAGCCCTTGACTGGTCCAAACCTCGACATTCAACCCTGTTCAACACACCTATATATTGCCTAGGCCTCATTATTCTGGACAACATTCTGTAATCACTTTCCCCTATAGTTCTGCGCTATACTCTGAGTTATAATTAATAACAGCTGGTATCAGAGCTACGTTCCTGCCCAATAGGCTTCCAGTAGGGGAGAAGACCCTATCAGGGAAGGGGGCGGAAGGATGCTGATGGCGAGCGGACGTTACGGAAATTAATTGCAGGGGCGTTGCCGATGCCGTCAGATCCTGTGGAGGTGATGACGCTGTGCTGGAGTGAGTGTACTCAGCGAGGGCGACTTCCCGCGTGGGGAGTCGTTTTTTGTGGACCAGCGATTCATACCCTCACGATCAACGGAAACGGAGGCCACCACTACTAGGTGTGTATTAAGTGTTTTTTCCACCAGTCGCCGAATGCGTTAACTGTCAGGAGCTGAAGAATTGGGAGAAGAACGACGGGAGTACTGGATCAGATGGGTTAGCGGCGTTCGGGCTGCTACTCGCTCAGTTACGTCGCCCGAAAATCACCATTCCCACTAGGTAGCAGTGTCGACTTATTAATCGACGACGTCTAGCTGAATAAGGGGGGTGAACATGCAAACTACACTTTGCTGATGGAGTGTCCCCGGAATTTTAGGAGTTACTGCTGCACTGGAGCTGAGGGTTTTACCGGGTGCAGCAGAAGGACGTTCCGACTTTTGCGGGTGTAGTTTGATGGGTTTCCGACTGAGGAGGGAGTTGTCCAACAGTCAGTAGGCGAGCTCCTTAAAGCTCCTCTGACTAGAAGCGTGCGCACTCCTATCTCTGTGGATTCTCTTAGTTAGTTAAGCAGCAGCGAAACGATTTTGGGTAACCTGGAGCAGTCGCGAGATGGGTGAACGTCTGCACGCCCAGCTGGCAGAGGTACCTGCGTATTTTGAAGAATTTTGGGTAACAGCTGGGCGAAGATCGACGACGTATGATGCGTATTGACCCTGATCGACGGCCAAAATATCATGCCAAGGCGGTGGATTCCGGTGCTCCCTAATATAAAGGGTTCAGTTCATGCGTACAGCTGGTGGAGAAATAGTGGGGGCGCTGCTAAAGGACACCGTGATGCCCGAGTGTTCTTACGGGTAGCTGTAAAGCAGTGTTGCAGTCTTGGTTACGTATCATTGAAGTTCCGACATTTTCGGCGGGTTTGAGGACCAGTTCAAGAGTTAACAGCTGGGGCAGTACCCACTATCATCGACCGAATTTTGCCGGGTACATGGAGCGGAGGGAGAGTACTACAGTAGTTGTTTCAGCTCTTCCCGAATATTTCGGCGTGTACGGACAAAGAAGTTGATGCACCTGGCGTCATTCGACCCTAAGTTCCGTTCGAGGTTTTTCAAGAGAGCGGGATTCGTATCAGTTACTCTCCAATGTCATCGTCGTCAGCCTCTCACCACCACCCGCTACTACCTCCATCGTCAATTCGCCTGATTGTGTGAACACGACCCCGCCTCGCCATCCGAATCGACAGCAGCAGTATCGAAGCGAGAAGATTTTTGCAGCCGTACTGTTGGAGCTGTGTTGGGACCAGCTCGCAAGCAGTGTTCCTACTCGTGTAGAATTTCATAATTCATAGCACCACGTGTGCGGATTACCCTCCTCCACTCCTCTGGTGCTGCTGCGAAAGCCTTCTCCACTACGACCGCCACTGTCTCTCCTCCCATTTCCTTGATAAGCTCCCAGTGACTATTCTGCGACCTGCTGCCATCTCGACGCTTCACCACTAGGTCACCCGTCGTCATCTGCCTAATGACATCCTTCCCTTTTTGGTTACCACAGTGGCTGCTTCCACGGTACATGACGTTACCATTGAAACTTAGTCGATTGTGCTCCACCTCCCATCTCGTTTGCGGCTACTGGTAACTCTGCCAGAGGTGAGCCCATAAACACCTCTGCTTTCACTTTCCACCGTGCACTTTTGCACTTCTGCATTTGAGTAGTGACTAGTGAGCAAAGAAAGATGCGTACCCTTATAGAAGGTCGGCTGCCGTCTTGGCCAGCCATGTTGTGACTGGGTTCTGCTCCTATAGTAACAGCGCTACTGTGCGGAGAGCCATGTTACTATAGGAGCAACCGCAGTCTTAGATTTCACACCCCAATTTGTCGTATGTCGTCATTATCGTTGTCCAGGTACATCTTCGCCTTCTGCACCGCTAGTGATGCTACTGCCAGTGATGAAGACGCTGACATGGCACTGGGCGAGGACGGCGCGCTTCCGTGCCCGCAAAGCCCGCCAAGCGCAGCGAGATAGCATGAGCTATTAATACGTGATATGGATAGCACGACACGCATCATGGCCTCCGCAAAGGCGCACGCTGACTGGACGCTGGACGAGTGGAAGCACGTGATCTGGTCTGATAAGACCAATGTCAATCGCTTCAGCACCGACGGCCATGCGTACGCCTGGATTCGTAAAGGCACCACCCTCCAAAGCCACCAAAACCAACGAACGGTAAAGCTTGGTGGCGGCTGAGTGATGGTGTGGGGATGCATGATGTATGAGGGGGCACGGTTCATGTGCAAGATCGATGGGAGCATGGGCGGGCCCCTATATCATAGCATTCTGCCATACAAACCCGCTCAAACGATCGAGTTCTACAGCATATCCCCCTGACAGCCTAGGCTGCTTAGGCTACAGCACCGCGAGGAGACCCGCGGATTTTAATGAGTTCCTAACGGTCTGAGGGTCCGCGACAGAGTATAGCTATGATTAAGCAAGGCCAACCGGCAGAGGGCATCATCGATGCACTTCCATCGCGGCTAGTCTTAGCAATGACCTTCAGCCCGTGGTCATGCATGGTACACTTGCCAATGCCCAACTCTTTAGCGATCTTCTCGGTCGATTATTCCCCCATCCACAATATGGTTATAATGCGAGCTCGGCGCTTCTCATCTAACAACTTCATCACGCTTTGGACGTATGCACGCAACCGCCCTAACTCCTACCTAGTCGACTGTCGCAAGAGAGCTTGTGAAGCCAAAGCGATCATCAAAAGTAGATCTAGTTTGTTGTTTGGCAAAAAGTGTCCAAAATGGACCGCCTAGGAGTAAATCTCATCCCCACTATTACAATGAGGGTGAAACATGCCAACTTCAATTTCCAGCAATTATAACCTTACAGTGTTGAAACATGGCTGAAAAATGCCTACGAAGTTTGTGCAAGAGTTAAAAAGTGCATAACTTCCAAACAATTATTTCCGTATCTGTACTTCCAACGTCCGCATGGCGCCTGGCATACTCAAAACACAGAGGCCACCCGTCGACCCAATCGTGCGGGGAAGTCTGTCCGTTACTGGGTGGGCTTTTCATCTCAATGTTTTTTATGACTGCAACCTCATGGCCGATGATTCTCAAAAGTTCTGATACACCGTGTCATTGTTTCGTGGATCAATTATGAATTGGTGGCAGCGAGTGGCACAATCGCGCGAGCACCTGGATATGACGTTACGCTGATCGGGCGTTTTCGCACGACCAATCAATGGGCAGAAAGTTATTGCGAGATGGACGAGTACAACACGTGGCAATCGCTGTGCACGGAAATTCATCGCCGCTTTGAACACGTTAGTGATAGCAATCAATAGAGCATCCGCCGTCACACTTGGTGCCAACTCGGATCAATACAAGACTATACAAGAAGCTTCTATGGACTATGCGATGAAATCAGCTACTGTGCATGCACTAAGAAGAAAAGTTCGTCCGATACATTGGCGGGCTTTGCCCCATGCAACAGCACAAAATTCA